TGACCGTGCACTAACATACCCGCGATGGTCTTGTATCTTGTGCAGTGGGCGTGGTTTAAACTGAAGTCGCATCACACTTACGAACCGGATGCTCCATGTACTGTAACGACTCCGCGGGCGCGCCCGCGGAAGCTCAACACAGAGAGCCTCGGTTTCGATGCGGATATGCGCAGACGGCGCTAATGTGAAATCCATCTATAGGATCGGACGTGCTACTAGTGCCTTTGGTGGGTTGTCCAGCCAAGTCTTCCTGAACAGGGACCTCACCACAAAGACAAAGATTGCTGTGTATTCTGCTGTCTGCATATTTCCATTCTGTTGTACATGTATGGTTGTGAGACGTGGGCCCTGTACAGATCCCATGTCCGTCATGTGCGTAGTCTTGAAGCATTGCACATCCGATCGCTACAGCGCATGGCATAACATGGATGGATTGCATTCTTCATTTTGTGATACTACAGACTGCCAACTGTTCCAGCATTGAGGCGTTGATTATCCAAAGCCAATTGCGCTGGGTGGGCCATGTCATCCGATTGTCAGAAACTCGTTTTCCCTGTAAACTTCTCTACCGTATCCTGTCTTAGGGCTAGCGTCAAGTGGGTAGCCAAAAGAAGCAGTTCAAGGACCATCTTCACACCATCCTGAAGCAGAGCGGCATTCCTCCAAGCATGGACCATTTACCCAAAGGTCCATGCTCTAGGGCCGCTGTTTGTGGTGTGCTTTGTGTTGTCAGGCTGTTAAGAAATTTGAGATCGCATGTACACAATCTTGGGAGGCACGCCGGCTTCAAAGACATGAGCAGCAGCAGCGTCCCCCACCAGGCGATGGCTTACCCTGCACCTCTTGTGGTAGATGTTGTGCCTCCCAACTTGGCCTTTAAAGTCATAAAACACCCTGGCTTTTCTTAATTGTGCCATGCATGTATCTTCCTTTGCCTTATAATTGTTGAATTTTCTGAGGATGGCGCCGTCGTTTCGACGGCTTACCACAAGGATGCAAGCAAGTACATTGTACATGTACTGTACTGTATGCAGCACTGTGGGGGTTATTGGTTGTCCTACAATGTAACTCATTACATGCAGTTACCATTAAAAAGCTTGACTGTTTAAGTATGGTTAGGGTTTTAATGGCAAATAATACATTTTTAATAATGTGATTGGAGTGAAGCTTTATTCCTAAGTATTGATTATTACATCAAGCACACCAAGTTCCGACGTACATGTATACCAGCCTCTCAAGGCTATAATGAGGTAATGAATAAACGTACACTTTACATGTAGGATTTAAAGCCAATTTCATTCCAAACCCTCTTAGATATGCTTTCACCTGTAATGCTATTATACCGACAGGTGTTAGTAGAGTGATACCCATAGGCCTCAAATCAGTATGGGATCATGCAGTGATTCCTTGAGATGCTAACAGAATCAGCAGTGGGAATATTGAACAAACTCACTGGATTGGCAGTGACATGATTGAGTGAGGATCCTGTTGTGTTTATTGATACATACATATACATGTAGATGCACAATGTACCAGTAGCCAAGATTGTGGTGACATGATGTACAACATGTCTTCAGGCCTCTAATTACTACTATGCTGTAATTACTACTATGCTGTAACAGAATCAAACCCCTTTGTCAGCGCAGCTAGGGGTACTGTCATTATCATTCTGCATATTACTACCGGGTACTGGGTATCTGTTCTTGTGTTACAGTTGGAGAGCCATGCACTGCAGCAATAAATCAGGTGTTCCCCTTTAAAGGAGAAATACGCTGAGCCGTTGAGATTCCCCTTTAATACCCTTCATACACCAGTGCCCTTGCAACAATAGATCAAGATGAATGAATAGAGTATGCAACCAGTTCTGTGTGAGCAAGAGCACGCTGGGTGGTTTCGGTATCCAATGAGAGTTGGTTGTGAACAATCGGGTACCCATGTAGTATGTGTGGGCGAGTGAACATGTACGTGTACATGTTTGTAACAGGTACTGGTATACCTGAACATTGTTTACTAGATAAACACATAAGGCAAGGATTTCATACAAGTGTGCATGTGGGATTATCAGGAAGTGTCTGGCCTCCTGTGGTGAGCTGTAACAGAGACTAGTCTACATGGACATGCCAAACTACATGTGCTTTTTGTCTTTTGTGGGCTACACTGTATTCAGGTAGTGACGTAGGGGTACCTTCTGACAGGGCTAGTGATTTTCTTGTATCCCACAGTGAGTTCAAAGTGCTGCTCCCAAATTCTGAACTCTGGCAGAGCAGAGTTACATGATGGTTCTCTAGCCTAGTAGTAGGATATTGGTTGGTGCATATCGGATGTACCAGTAGTTCACAACCTCAGAGTGGTTCCATTTACAGGTTGTGATTTGCCCATTAAAGCAGGCTGGGGATGCATGATAATTTATGCACAGACAGTGTAGTCCAAGTTCACAGGGAAACACTATTTCTCCACCCAGATGGTCTACAGATGAAGTATGGAGCCATATAGATGAAGTCTGTCGCAAAAGTTCACCTATGGATTGCCCAACGGGATTTCCTGTCACTTGCGCAGATTGATGTTCCCTGCATGGTGTAACTGTGGAGAAAGTGCAACTTGCTGTTGCTAAACACCAAGAAAGTTAGCCAGTGTTGTTGGCACATGCACACAACAGGCATGAAAGGTACTGTTCATGCGTGTACTGTACCATACTGTACATGTATACATTTTCTGTTACATGTACATGTATGCATTGTAATCATGGCTAAAACTACAGTATCAGTATAAAGTTAAGTCTGTGTATACGGTGCAGGCTATTTTGGTTTTCCTTCAAATGGCAATTTGGTCCGCACGTAGGTACTTTGAGAATGTACTTTATTATTCAGTTCCGGTGGATCATACTGGTAGTTTAAATAACGAACAAACAAGAAAGGATCAACACTTGGCTATGGGAATGCATGTGAGTGAAGGAACTGCTCTGAGCTGCAGGAAGAGACGTTTGATAAACTGCTTCTTTGGTCTGATCGTAGTCTTCACCATGTTGTCCATGGTTGTGCTGACGCTGTTCCTGTTTGGGGTGATACCCGGGGATGGATGTGGTATGGAGGACGGGTGCAGTAGGGATGTTGCCGAGGAGGTTGATGCCATTGATGACATTCTTCAGGTTTCCACAGCTGCTCCTGTGCTAAGTTTAAATGATCAAAAGGTAATAATTTTACAATATGTCTGAACCATTTTGAAATTTTATGTAAACCCAATTGGAAAACTTCGGCCACAGAACTACATGTACACGTACAGGTAAAAAAAAGTTCAATTTTTTTTAAGTTTAAAGTTAAATTTTATTGTTTGTGGTTTGAAAAGAAAGTTCATGAAAATCAAAATCATAGATTGGTCTGGAGAGGCTTTTTGACATTCATTATCAGTGATTATGTTAACCTTTTTGTATGAGTGATACACTGTATGTACATGTAAATATCCGTTGGGCGGACCCAACTTATACATTAGTCTCAGTAACCTGAACCCTGTAAATTGCCCTTTCAAACATTGGACTTAGGGTCGGGTGATAGTGTAGGGTCCAAGTACTGTACTTGTACCTTCCGTGGGCTTTTGCTTCCATTCACTCAAAGCTTCTATCCCAAATCAAAACCTCTGAATTTACCTCCGAAATAGTCCTTCTAATGCGCCTGGCTTAGGATCAAGTGAGAATCGGAAATTCCAATAATGATGATAACGTTTACTCACATTTGGGAGGAAAAGAGAAATTCCCCTTCAAACCAGAAACGGCCATTATTTAGTGCGATGTCGCCATCTTGTTCAAATAGCGATTTGAACTGTCCTGGAGATGACGCCACGGCACACTGGCCTCTAACGGACCAATAATAAAAAGCATGCTGTGTCAGCACATGCGGCGATCGACGACTGATTCCTGTGTGCTGTATGTTCGGTAACTGTGATTACCTTGAAACTGTTCACCGGACATGTGAGTAAACTTTATCATCATTGGAATTTGAATTCGGAGGATTTTGATTTGGGGTACGAGCTACATGTACATGTACATGTACATGCATTATGAGTGAAATGAATTTATTGATGTAAAAGCCTACAGGAGGTACCAGTACGGTACATGTACATGTACAGGTGTACTTGGACCCTACTATTGCTGACCATGTCCAAATGTTGAAAAAGGTGATTTGTAAATTACATGTACCGGTAGGGTCCAAGTTACATGTACATGTACTCGGACTCCCTATACATGTACATGTACCAGCATCATGGCACGTATGTTTTTATGTTGGTTTTTTTAAAACACCTGAATAAATCCCTGTGATTGATGGATCGTCAACATGTCATTGACTTTGGTACATTGTACCGGTACCCCACACCCCAGTAGGCACAGTTGCGGTACTTCATATGCACCGACACAATTTCAGTTGATCAGAGGGTGTCACGATTTACCAGAAGCCTTGGCCTGTTAAATAGGCTACATGTATGTACATGTATATGATGTACCGATATATATGTACATGTATCATTTAATTGAAGAATGTGCATTTGAGTGCAGTCAGCAATGCCATATTGCTTGTATGGCATATCTCCTTGGATTAATCTATAATAAGTGTTTCACATTTGTATAATGGAAAAAATAAACTTATTCGTTCTGTGGAATATGTTCCATTCCACTTGACTTTGCCACAGTAGAACATTCAATCTGTCACCTTTCATAAAATGTACTTTTGCATAAATCATAAGCATTCATTTACATGAGTACACTGTATATTATTTGCATCCGTAGTGATGTACATGTACCGGTACAGGTGTGCACTGGATTTATAATTTTCTAATTGTTCAAACTTCTAGTGCTTGAACATATTTTATCGGTAGGACAGTGTTGATATCAAGGTAATAAAGGAGTGGGTTTCCCCCCCCCCCCACCAAGGTGGTGCAGTTTATTCAATTTGTATATGTACATGTATATGTACATTATGTACATGTAAATGTACATGCTTGCTTCATATCACATCATGGCATTGCTACTAGTGCTAATGATGTACATATTCATGTACACCGGTAAGTACATGTATTGATAAAAATATACCTTTGAGCCCTCATCTTTGTCAGGTCCAAAATTGGCAGTGCCATGCTCCTGTAGCTATTCACTGTTGTATGCTAATCACGGTAGCAACCTGATTTCGAGCACCGAAGTGTGATGTCATCATAGTGTAAAACGAATGGAGTGTTGGCTCCTCGCACTAATGCCTGTTACACACATACTCGTAAGCACGTGACATATTCACTTCAGTACTCTGCATGCACATACATTGTAGCTACAAAAAACCCACTTTGAGCACAATTTTACATCAAGGATAAAAACTGCAAAGGATTGTGGGAGATGTGAGGCAGAGGGTTGAATCGGGGACTGAAGCCACAAAACCCAAACTTTGGACATGCTGGTGACCCAAACTTTGCTCATGTGTTTGATGGAATACATTTATGATGATCGACTGTTTCATCAGACCATTTAATTTTCCTCAATTTTGTTTTTTAACTTTTATTCCAGGATTAGACAAGATAAAAAACATTCCCACACATACATGTACATGTGCATATTCAACCCACAAATTACATGTGGTTTATCACTAATTGATACTACTACTCAACAACTCAGAAAAATAACAACACCCTAAACTGCAATGAATGTGGCAGCCATCTTTGGAGGCCCAAAAATCTTCTTTCATTATTTGTGCACAGTGACTGGCAGAAATTGGTGCATGGAGGCCATTATACTCGTGCATTTACCCACAAATGAACATGTACATGTATATACATGTATGTACACGTATCATGTGCCTGTTTGTCATGTTTGTGTTCTGACTCTATTGAGTTGTGCACGAGGCCTATAATGTTTTAAATGATTGGAATGGGTTGGTAAAGTTCATGTAATCATGGTACATGTACCCCTTCCCCAACATTTGCAGTCATTACATGTAATACAAAGTAAACACAGACTGACCAAAGTGTAGCACACTACCATGTACATGTACCAGTACATGTACATGTACACGGTAGTGTACCCAAAACCTCACATGGACATTATGTTAAAGTCTGCTACCAGTAAGGACCTGAAAATATTGAGGAGCTCCATTGAGAAGGAGGGTGATGATTTTAATCATTTCTTTTTGCCAATTCTAAATTTAAATGTACATGTATTAGTGTATATACTGGATATGAATTCTACATGTACATGTAGTACATGTACATTATAAAAAGCACTCACAACCAGGTACAGGTGTACAGGTGCATGTAATGTACAATGTACATGTGCATGTAATGTACAATGTACATGTAGAGAAACAGTTTTTAAATGTGATTGTTAATTTGCTCAGTTGGTCAATTTTGTTCCATTTTTTATTTCTTGTCATGTTTGTACTTTCTGGATGTACATGTACATCATAGTCCTTACAGTACTACCAGTGCATGTACATGTACATGACAGTCCACCATGCTACCAGTGCATGTACATGTACATGACAGACATCCATGCTAATGAGGGAGATATCCGTTCAGCTGGATTTTCAGGAGACCATGGATTCTCGTTTCATTTTCTTCAGTATGCTAATTTTGTCAATTTTGGAATAGTTACATGTACGTTGCTGTTTTACATCTAAATTTTGTTTTTAATGTTTTTATTATTTTTGAACAGATGGAGCATCGGCCCAAAAAGCTGACCCAGTCAAAGCTACGTGAGTTTGCAGCTCTGACGGATATCGATCGTTTCATGGGCCCAGAAATCCTGGATCCATTACTAAGGGTCAGAGTGCCAGGAACACCTGGAAATGCAGAAGTTAGACAGGTATGGGTAAAGTTTAATCCTAACTCCTAGACCCTTCTGGCTAGGCCTATAGGATGCATCCTCAGTATCCTCCAACTGCCACCATGGAAAGATTACCTGGTAGGTTCAGCCGCAGTCCTCCAAAATCTTCAGGTACATGTACCTTACATGTACCCGTTATTTTGTATTGATGTTCCTGAAACTGGTGACCACTGCGTCAACTCTCCAGCAATTCCTGTCCTTGTGAAGCAGTGTGAATGGTACCAGTTCATGTGTCTTGGAGCACTGGGGATTTCAGATATGGTACATACATAATCTGGGCATGAATTCACAGTGTATGTGTAACCATGGAGCTATCAAACACAAGGAGTTAGAACAAAGACCTACAGATGGGTAATCTGATTAACCGCTCCGGTAGGCTCCATTGAAAGGCACGTTTACCAGCTGCCCCAATGTTGAAGACCCAAAACAGTCTTTGTACGTACAGTGATCGCCACTGCCAGGTACGGGTAGTTAGTAACCCACAGACTCGCCGTGTTTTGCTGCGGCATACTGGAGTAAATAAATGGTGGAAAAGATGCACGGAAAAGATGCGCAGTTCTCTTCAGTAGCCATCAGGAGTCAGCGAGTGATCTCCGCAAATGCGCTCGAAAATTCCAAATCAGCGGTGGTTATTTAGCAAAAGTCAGATGGTTTTAAAGTCAGTTATGACATTTTGCGTTTCCGGTGGTAGAGAAGAAATACTCAAAATATAAACTGCGATATTTATATCATAAGTCACAATCCTAGTGGTTCCTACAGTTAAAAGAAGGTGAGAATATGCCGCAGGAATGCATTTGACAATGTGGTGAGGTTTCATGCCGAGATAGTTGTGGACATTGACAGAAATGACAATGAATCTTCCCATGTTTTTGTGTGTTGTTTATTTTTCTCTGGACTACCGGTAGCTACATTCTCTCAGTTTTCTTGTGCGTAATTTTTGGAGAATTTGTATTAGTAATTCTATTTATTGTTGAGACTGAGAGACGTTTTGGGGATTTAAAAACATACATGTAACCAGACTTTCATTGTCATTGGAATATCAGAACAATCACTAAAATTATTGAAATTGAAGTCTCAGATGACGACGGTTTCTGTCTCAAGGTGGCCATGTTGAACATGTGGAAGTGTTACGGACACGCATGTGCGGTACCCACGCTCCTTTGCAAATGCAACTCCGATCATTCCTTATACACTGAAGCTCGCAAGCAGCGCAGAGTTTGTGTTGTCCTTGCAGCACGCGCAGTGCTGGTGGTAGCCATCATTGACCCTTTTGATCTCTGTACGTGCTGACTCCTTGTGTTTAATAGCTCCATGCTGCAATTAGGCATTTAACAACAAAAGGTCTAAACTTAGACCTTGACATAATGGGTCCTTCATAATCAGCCATATACTGGTACCATAGTTTTGCCATTCAGCCTCAATTCTTCCAGATGATTAGGAAGGTTAGGGTTAAATTAATGGAGTGAAAACAAAAGTTCAGTATACCGGTAAGTGCAAATGGTGTGGTACTGGACAGATGTCAAAACCCCTTCTGCCTGAGAAACATTGATGTGAAACTGGTTGAATCTTCCAAGTCTACTGACCAGGCCTGATCCCCCACTCCTACCAAACCACAGGGTGGATTTTCAGGGACGTAGGAAGGTTAAACCCAATGTTTGTTACATTTATATAGTTGCAGTTTACTGGTACATGTACATACATGTACATGTTGTACATGTACTGTACATTTTACATGTAGTAATACACGTTTATTGTACTATTTTTTAGATTTTGAATTTTTTCCTTAACAATTGAATTGAAGCAGCTTTTTCGTTTTTGTGACAGTTCATCGTTTCCAGCCTCCAGAGCCTGCAGAGTTGGGACATTGAAGAGGACCAATCTACCCACTGGACACCCCACAACCGGGCCAACACCGACTTTGTGAATGTCATTGCCACACTGCGCAACCCCAATGCCCAGCCAGAATCAGACCTGAAGCTTGTCCTCGCCTGCCATTACGACAGCAAGCACTTCCCAAATGATGAATTCATCGGGGCCACTGACTCAGCTGTGCCATGTGCTATGCTCTTAGACTTGGCCCACAACTTGAAGGCATCGCTGGATGCTAAGACATACATGGTTTGTTTCTTTTACTGTATTACTTCTGAATTCATTGAGTTCCAACAGCAAACATCAGATTTTTGTTGGTGTTCAAAGAAGCTTAAAGATCTAGTCTTCTGACAGTTGAAACCTGTATCAGGCAGCATGCTTCATACAGTACTTCAGTAGCTTCAGTTGAGTGTAGAAAGGGGTTGTGATTCCTTTGATCTGGTAGAATGCAAAGCTGTCTCTATCCTGCTTGTCTGTTTACATACTGCTCATCTACCGTTGGTTGAAGCTACACATAGATTTTGGACAGGAGTTTTTGTTTGTAGTATTGGTATTACTGTTTGTGCAGTGAGCTTAGGGAATTCCACAGCGAAAAACCGCCACAAGGGAAAAAAAATTCCATGACTGTTTTCATAGAAAGGCAAGCTCTCTGCAGCATAAAGTAAAGTTTTGAGAAAATTGTGTTTGAAGTTGGTCATTTTTTAAAACTGAGAATTCACAGACATGAACTTTAAGAGTTGATTAATTAAATACACGGTGCAAATGAATTTATGTTTATTACTAAACATTTATCTTAAACTGCCATGAAATGTGAGGCATTATACATGTACTTTCTAATTCCTAATTTGACTACTCTCAGAATTGTTTATTTACCGGTACCTAAAATGTGTTCCTTTGTGAAAAACAGGGAAGCCATGGCAGCAATATGCAACTGTTAACCATTGAAAATAGCTGACCAAAAACAAAATATATCAAACTAGAATATTATTTTAATTCAGAAATATGGGTTGCCATCAGGGCAAAATTTAATATTTTACAAAATGAACGTTCCAGACGAAAACAAAGCGCAAAAGTTAAAAGCAAACAAAACAAGAACTGCATAACAAAGGAAGTTGAGAAAGTGAGAAGGGTGTTAAAAACTAAGAACCCCCCTACAGAGAGCCATGCTTTGTTTGTTGTGAAATGATGTCACACAGCATCTCTTCTGCAATTGCTAGCATCTTGAAGTCATGCCCTCAGTGTTCATTGTCAGATTGTGACCACATGGAAACCACTCTTCAGCTACTTCAAAGTAGTCCTGACAGAATTTGATGACCTTGAAGCTGACACTAAAGCAGTAATTCAGTTGACATGATTGAAAGGTACCAATTCTGGGTACCAGTTTTTTATTTCTGAAGCCTAAAACTGTTGTCCTTACATGTACATGTACATGAAGCTCATTAATGGAAGTGGAAAAACAAGTTGTTGATTTGATATCACCTTTCTGATGAACCTACCGGTACATGCACCGGTATGCGGATTGGTGAGATCTTGTTTTGAAAGTTTTTCCCTCAAGTTTTATAACTAAGAGCCATTGGAGGTGTCTCCGGCACCTTCTTTTTTTGTACCGGTAGGTATACACACTACAGTAAGGTACAGTTCACTGAAAAGTTTACTTTGAATATGGCACAAAAGCAAATTATGCAAAATCCATCTTCTACATTACAAAGGCATAACACCGGAACATGTATGCGGGAAAATTTGTAAAATGTTGTAAAAATGTTTTGCAACTGTACATGTAGTTCATACCAGTAGCTTAGATTCCTGTATTTGCTGTGATGTCGCAGATCTATTTTATCCTTTTTTCCACATTTGCATTAATAATTTTCATTTAGACAAGAGATTGGTACATGTACCGGTACATGCACGTTGAAAACTTCCATTATGCATCCAGTTGCTGAGAGAGAGATTAGCCTCATTTCTGTGTGGTCATGACAATTGCCAACAATGCATAAATTACAGTGTTTGCTGTCATTCAGCAAAAACAAAGCACAAAATTGCTTTTGAAACTCCAAAAATTTTGGTATGAAATGCCATTTGTACATGTGAATGCTTTTTGTACGTACGCGTACTGTGCATGCATATACTGATATGTAGCTATCGCAATTAGGGTTTCATATCTTATTGATTCAGAGAAAAATCAGCACACTACATGTACATGTATTTGAGACCCTCAATCGAGAGAGCATGCTAGTAACAACTCAACACAGATTTTCAGCAGAGTTGAACTTAGTCCACCTGTGCTGACTGTCAGCATCAGTGCCTGAAATACTTCCATATGATTGTGTGCCATCAGGAACTGTTTGGGCATGCTGTCTGTGTGCTTTACAGTCTGAAGTTAAAGATTGACTTAGTGTATGTAAACCCTACATATCTGTATCTTTCTCTTACAGCCCTACACCCTGCAGCTGATCTTTTTTGACGGGGAAGAGGCCTTTGTCCAATGGACCAGCACTGACTCTCTTTATGGTTCTCGGCACCTGGCCCAGAAGTGGGCAAACATGCCCCATCACTCCGTCAGCAAGCAAAAAGTCCTGGATGGAATTGTGAGTCCAGGAAAAAAAGATTTTGTGATTGTGTCAGTGGAATGACATCTTGACCCCCGTTGACTCTGCAGTGTAGCCAGCCAAAACATACCTGAACATTTTTTCTGTTGAATTTGCACCCCTTGACTTGATGGCGGTAGACCGTCATGGTTTGAATTTCTCAGCTTGGCTGATATTCTCCTAAGCAGTGTGTTGTTTGATGTGTAGTTAGAACATTGGCTGGGTTTCGACACCGAGTTCATTCTGTCAGCAAAAATCCAGATGCTCAGAGCAAATGAAAGAAAAGGAAATGAAAAATGATGAAAAAGAAAGGGAATGAGGAATAAAAGGAAAGGGTAGAGGCAAAAAAGATTTTGCATACCAGCACATTTTTGGAACGACACTCAAAATAGTCAAGCCAAGGCCGTAACCAGATCACGAAGTCTGTACATGTGTACATGTTCCGCTGCATGTACCATATTTCCATTTATAGAGTACTCTACTACATGCACATGTTATTTTGGTAGATCATTCCATAGGTTGTGAATGAAACCGAAAAGTGGGTTTTGCCAAGTTGATCATTGAATGATTGATTACCTACAATTGGTAAAAATGACTAATATCTCCATGCTGTGAGTACAATATTGAGATTAACATTACACACAATGCATGTGCAAGGTGTTAGCTGACCATGGAGATCAGACTCATTGTAAGTCGTCTTGCACCCCTTGCCCCTTTATTTGTGTGTCACAAGCAAGTAGGTTGTGCATGTAAAATACCCTCCTGTAGTTAACTTATTTTTCCCCAGGATGCGGTTGACCCATTCAAGCTACATCTTGAGCCAAATAGCAAGTAACAGTGTCAAGGCGACCTACAACCCTTGTCTCTTGATTTGTGTTTCACAAGCAAGTTGTCAGTAAAATACCATCCTGTTGTGAACTTACATGTACATGTATTTTTCCTGGGATGTGGTTGGTTATTCAAGCTGCATTGTAGGCCGTATAACAAGTAACACTGTCATGCAGTACTTGAGGACAGGACTAGTGAAAGAAAATTTTCCGCAAATTGTTCATATAAAAATGCTTCATCCAGGAAATGTGAAAACTATTGGCTTAGCCACCGTATCTGTACAAATTATCACAGTTTTGCAGTTTTTACAAACAAATAGTAAGTTGCCACTCTATAGGAATAGTTTGCCTTATTTCCAGTAATCTGTTAGGTTTAGCTGTTTCACCAGTTGGCATAATTTTCTACTTTGACAGGGCCTTTTTGTCCTTTTGGATCTTCTTGGAACATCCTCTCCAAACTTCAAGAATTTTTTCTCCACAAATACTCAGAGTAATAGAATGTACAAACACCTCCAGAATATAGGTAAGTATTGCCTCTCACATTTAACAGACAAATCTGTCTGCTATCCCTTTTAATGTACAGTATGTAACCCACCCCTGATCCATCCAAATCTAGGGCAGTTCTGACAGAGTTGATTCATGTAGGTCCTAGAACAGTAGAACTCTACAATGATTACTTAGGCTCGAGTTCCTTTGACTGTTGAATATTCATTTTTATTTCTGCACAGTGGTGGATTTGGGGAATTTTCTATCATTGCAAGCAAAACTTGCTCAGAAATATTTGTCTAGCGGTAAACTGTTCCCTGTCAGATCTTTCTGAAACTCTGTCATTATATGAAGTTTCAAAGTATTTTCTAAGTACGTTTATTCAAGAAGGTAGAGCTACATGTACATGTACATCATAAAGAGGACATTTCTGTCTGGCCTCTGGTTAACCTCTTGTTCCAGGCAGTTTCCTCTGTCAGGTTTATCTTTGAATCTATAATGAACTCATTTAATATGACAGTTTCTATGTGGCTGAGCTGCTATCAATGCCAAGAGGTCAAACATACAAACCAATTAGTTGTGCCTTAATCTCCAATAATTTGTGCCCATGATGCCCACTTGTAGGCAACCAGAGGGCTGGTTCATAGTTTACATTGTCTTTGGAATGAAGGCAATAACACATCTGGGCATTGTTGGATGATTGGGCCATTCAGGGATAATCCCCAAGAGCTGTCAAATAGGCCCAGTGCCATTGCCAGTATTCATGACAGAGGCTGAACCTGCAATGAAAATGCCCACAGATCAAACCCAGTGGAAACTGCTTGGTACTGGAGCCCCTCCACTGGTTGGATAGACATGATAGAAATGTTCTTCCTGAGTCACTATTGTTTTACATGAACATGAGGCTTGTGCATTAAATGCACCATTAGAGCTCCTACACATTGGTAGACTTTGGAAGAGTCAGTGAGATTCTATCAATTATGCCTGGGAAGTTGGAATGAACAGAGGTCTAGCTTCTATGCAAGATTCTCACTACTGGTAAAATAATACTCTTGATTTGTGCAATCAGTCACTTTTTTCAAATCTGACCATTTCCAGAGAATCGTTTAGCCCAGAACAACGAGCTGATTTCATACTCAGAGGATGGACCTTATTTCTCTGGGTCTACATCAAGAGGGATGATAGAGGATGACCACAAGCCATTCCTTGAGCGGGGTAAGATTCTTTAAAGGGCCGAAGACAAATACATGTGTATTAACTTCAATAATCTAATGGAGCTGGACTTTCTCTCAGACAATCCTCGGAACATTTTAAAAACTAAATCTCAGGAATTTTTAGGGGAAGATTTTTTTCTTAGCCACGGTGACAGAGATTAAACTATCCATGCTACAAACAGTATTTGAATTTTTATGCAATTAAAAAATCACCCACAACTTCCTCCTGTGTGTTGATTTTTCTTCGCATTGTCTTTGCCAGTATGTGTTTCAGCCATCTGTGTTAAATTTATTGCCAGGCACTGAGTTAGTGAATGGGGGCATTGTGGGACACCTTTTAGCTTTTGGCGCAAAACTGTAAAATTGCACATCACAAGACATGAAGCTTAGGTTAAAATGGGAAAACCTGCAACTCTGTAAAGAACTGTGGTTGAGGTATCTTGCTTGAGACAGTTTGAATCTTCAGCCAAAAATAATACTACACCTGGGACAAGTTTGTTCGCAATAAGTCCGCAAGATGTACATCTCGATGATAATTTTCTGTGTTACTTTCCTAGGTGTGGACGTTGTGCACGTAATTGCCACACCCTTCCCATCTGTCTGGCACCGGCCGACTGACAACAAGTCAGCCCTGAACAGGAACACCATCGCCAACCTCAACAAGATTTTCCATGTCTTTGTGGCTGAGTTCCTTCACCTCAAGCCCCCCCAATGACATACGGCGCCGGTCAACCCTAGGCCTCGTCCCCTGCATTCTGGCATGCCGCTACTGAAACCTACGCACAGTGCATTTGTGTTGTGTTCGTTGTCGCTTGTCCGCTTTTGTGCCTAGAATGCTGTCGCTAGGGTTACCGGCCCAAACTGAGTAAGAACAAAAACCATTAAGTGAGGACAGTTGCTGTGCTGAAATGAAAACAATCACTGAAACGAAACATTGTGATAATTCGTCACATCAGTACAATTTTCCCAACTATCAAACATTCACGTAACAAAGAAGTTTTAAATATTTCTTTTCAGTAACTTTCCATTCATGATGTACTTTTGAGGATATTACGGTTTGCCAGATTTTAATTAATGCTCACTGAGGGTTGTCTGAGAGCTTGCATCTGTGATGTCTAACCTTTCGAATGTTGATTGGCTAGAGTCAATGATCTCCAAAGTTAGCCTACATGTATGTAGTTGAGAACAGATAATTTCAGCGATTGTTTTTTTTGGGGGGCGGTGGGTTGAAAAACTGTAACAAATCATCTCAGCAACTGCCCGTGAGATGAAGTCTCACTATTTACTCGGATTGCGTGTTAGGATTGCATGTTAACTGATCCAGATTAAGCTCAATAGGCTTACGGTAAGAATGTGATTCTAATTGCAATGCAAATTTTTGGGTGGGTAACCATTATGTCTTGTAGAAAATGTGTGATTTTTTTTTTTAATAGTAATGGACAAAAGGGTAAAGCTATACTGTGGGAATCTGTTTAGGTGCCATGCTGGTATTGAGACCCAGCTAGACCGCACAACCCCAACCTTACTAAGACCAATATTACACTTCCAGGCTGAATTCAAATTCTTGAGCTATTCAAAATCAACTACAATAGCAATCTCATTGTTCACACTGATAGTTGTGTATTGGTGAGATTGGTCCTGTGATGGTCATAATGATAACACTGCTTTGTGGGCCGATTTCATGGGACTGCTGCCAAGCTAAAATGTCATTCAGTGCGTATTGGTGTGACTGGTCCTGTGATGGTCATAATGATAACACTGCTTTGTGGGCCGATTTCATGGGA